TTTATCGTCTATAATGGAAACTTTGTTGCCTTGCACGGAACCCAGGGCAGGCAGGAAGCTTGACTTCCTCCATCGCCGGGGCAACCAAGCCTCCTGCTTTCTCCAGCTCCGTGGCCGCCGGCTGCCATCTTGGTTGGGTTAATTTGCATGTAGTTGCTCTGATTGACTCATGGGCATGGCTTGGGCATAGCGGAGGTGTGGTCAATTTGCATGTTTCTCTTTTATTAGATAGATTGATACTGGTTCATGAACTAGATATAAAAAATAAAATAAAATCAAAATGAAATAAATATTTCTTAAATCCATTAGCAAGGAAAATACATTAACGAAGGAATAGTTTTAAGATCAAATTTAAGTGATGAGTCAAGTATACCATTAATAAAATAATCTGAGTGTATGAGTAAAATCTTCTTATAGCTAAAAATTACATAGAAAGACTCTTCAGCCCTAGTCAGTTTGTCTCAGTGGATAGAGCATTGGCCTGCGGACTGAAGGGTCCTGGATTTGATTCCGGTCAAGGGCATGTACCTCAGTTGCAGGCTTTCCCTGGCCCAGGCTCTGGTTCGGGGCATATGCAGGAGGCATCCAATCGATGTGTTTCTCTCACATCGATATTTCCCTCTTTCTTTCCCTCTCTCTAAAAATATCCTCAAGTGAGAATTTTTAAAAAAGACTATTCAAATTCAGAAGTATTTTTGAGCAGCTACTGTGTACAAGGGAATCTACTTTATGGCCCTGTGAAAATATAGAGATGGAAAGAGACTTGGTATTTATTTAAAATAACCTAAAATTTTTATAGAGTGAATAAAAAATAATGATAACTACAATAATGAGAAAATGTGATAACATATAATAAAACTATTTCTAAATTTTAGGAGATTATCAATAATATTGGTGCTCTGATGACCTAATTGCAATAAATTCTTTAGGATAAATGTTTGCCCTGACTGGTATTCTATAAGAATAGCACTGATTGCATGTTATATTAGAAGCTTAGAAGAGGAGAGTAAAGTAGATACTAACTAAACTTTGTAACTGAAGGGTTGGGTTTTTTTCCCCCCTTAACTCCAATGGTCTCACTTCATAAATAAAACATGAGTTCTTTGACTCCTCCAATTCTTACAAAAATGTAGATGCCATCAGATAGTTATTTTCTAAACTTCCCACACTCAGTTCCCAAAGCACATGATCCATATGTTCTTGTCCCCCTGGTTGCAGTAGAATGTGTGTCCTCTCCGTCCCCCTGTGAAACCAGCCCCTTACCCATGCTCTGATAGTACCCTTTCCTGCCTCTTGGGATCCCGTCAGCTCCTGTATCTTCAGCTTCTCTCCTTATAACTAGATCCTTCCCATTACCTTTTAAGCAAACTCAGGTTTTTCCAATTTTAAAAGCAAAGCAAGGCAAAACCTCCTTCAACCCACCTCATAGTTTCTATCTTTTTCTCCTCCCCTTTATAGTCAAACTTTGAAGAATTATCTGTGCTCACTGTCTCCATTTCCTCGCCTCCCAATCCTCTTAACCACTCAATCAAAGGACTCTCCTTAAAGTCACCAATGACCTCCATGTAGCCAATCCAGTAATACTTTTTAGTTTTCATCTTATTTGGCCCTCTCAGTAGCATTTGATACTGTTCATAGTCCTCCCTGCTATAAACTTTTTTCCCTTTGGCTTTAATGACACTAAACTACCTTGCTTTTCCTCCCACTTCTAGCTAATGCTTCTCGGCCTTTTTTGACAAGTAATTTTCTTTTACTTGATCTTTTAATACCAGAGCGTAATATATGCCCGGGAGAATAAATAGTAGGAGATGAATGTCCTGGTGTATGCCCTGGAGAATATTAGCAGACAGGGTCAGAGATAATAGCAGGGGCCAGATCATGCAGGGGCTTACTGGACTATAATAAAAGTATTATTGCCAATGCTAATAAAATTATACTTTTATCTGTATAATGTCATAAAATACTCAGTCATGGTGAAATTTTTATTTACCTAATTTTATGTATTACCATTAAGGAGCAACAAGCATTGAAAAGTACGATCTCCGTACCAATATGTGGACTCCGGTAGCAAATATGAATGGGAGGAGACTACAGTTCGGTGTTGCCGTGTTAGATGACAAACTGTATGTGGTTGGAGGAAGAGATGGACTGAAGACGTTAAATACTGTAGAATGCTACAACCCCAAAACAAAGACCTGGAGTGTGATGCCTCCTATGTCCACACACAGGCATGGCCTTGGTGAGTATCAGTGCAGATTTGTTCCTAAGTTAGGATTAGGCCTCCACGGCATGTTTACATTCTGTACCAGGCAGAGGAAGACCAATGTGGCAGCTGCTGAGTCAGAAGAGGCACCAGGCATTTCTTCACGTGCTCTCTCTTACCTGAGGAGTTAGGAGCAGAGGAAACAAGCATGTACATAAATGTCCATGTGGAACTAACACAAGTAAAACATGAATATTTTAGTGTAGCATGATGGACTGATGTATTTGGTGTTGACAATTAGTATTATCTAACCTAATTGAAATGATTATTTAAACATCTTCAGCATTATTGTGTTTTATTTATTAAGCACAAATGAGTAAAACCCAGAAAAATCTAAAGTCGCACAGAGAAGGCAATGATAGACACTTTTTATTCTTGCATTCAATAATTCACTGTTGGTCCTCAAAATACTGCCTCTAAAACTTTTAATATATTTTTAGACATTTATTTATTTATTTATTTATTTTAATCTTCATCTGAGGATATTTTTCCATTGAGTTTTAGGCAGAGTGGAAGAGAGAGGGAAAGACAGAGATAAAAACGTCAATTGGTTGCCTCCTGCCTGCACCCTGACCAGGGCCCGGGCCAGGGTGGAGCCTGCAACCAAAGTATGTGCCCTTAACCGGAATCAAACCCAGGACCCTTTGGTCCTCAGGCTGACACTCTATCCACTGAGCCAGGGGCACTCTAAAACTTTTAAGACCAGAGCTATAGTGCTGTTTCTCCCCCACCCCCCCACTCACCCACCTGTCTACCAAGAAGAGCTGTGAGTAAACCAGATGTCTACATCATAAATTTTTGCTTAGTTAAATTTGCATGTTTAAGATTCATTGTACTTATATTTCAATTAAAATGTAATTTTTAACTCATTCTTGTCTTGTAGGTGTGGCTGTATTGGAAGGTCCCATGTATGCAGTTGGAGGGCATGATGGCTGGAGCTATCTGAACACAGTGGAAAGATGGGACCCTCAGGCACGCCAGTGGAATTTTGTTGCCACTATGTCCACTCCCAGGAGCACAGTAGGTGTGGCAGTACTAAGTGGCAAGTAAGAAAATATTTAAAGTTCTCTTTAAAACAATAAACTAAATTTATTAAGCTAGTAGAGGCCCAGTGCATGAAATTCGGGCACTGTGGGGGCGGGGTGGTCCCTTAGCCTGGCCTGCACCCTCTGGCAATCCGGGAGCCCTTGGGGGATGTCCAACTGCCACAGAGGTGGGAGAGGCTCACCAGCTGTGAGCCCAGATTCTGGCTGAGCAGCACTCCCCCTATGGGAGTGCACTGACCACCAGGAGGCAGCTTCTGCATTAAGCATCTACCCCTTGGTGGTCAGTGGGTGTCATAGCAACAGTTGGTTCTGCCGTTCAGTTGATTTGCATATTAGCCTTTTATTATATAGGCTATTATATCCAACTTCAAAATATACATAAATAAGTCACAAAGGGAAATACTTTGAATGATGTAAACAAATTGTTTAAATAGTCTCTTATAAGAGTGCTGATATAAATATCTCAACAGTAAGTTGGAGTGTGCAGCCTTAGTGAAGAAAGTCCTGATACCATTTAGATGCAGTGGTGCTTCACTCACCCCAAGAAGAGTGTGTGCTCATTCATCAACCAGTGTTTTTCTAAGGTTGCTTTAACAAAGTTGCAATGTTTTAACTATTTTTTAATATATTTTTTGTTAATTTTAGTGAGAAAGGGAGAGGGAGAGAGAGAGAGAAAATATCAATGATGAGAGAGAATCACTGATCGGCTGCTCCCTGCACATCCCCTACCATGGATCGAGTCTGCAACCTGGGCATATGCCCTGATAGGGAATCGAACCATGATCTTATTATTCATAGGTCTATACTCAACCACTGAGCCACTCTGTCTGGGCTGTTTTAACTATTTTGTTGGTGTCCATTTTCAGTATATATTCAGAATATGGAAAAATAGAAACTATGTTTTTAGTTTTCAAAAAATGTATGTAGTTGATTGAAAAAATTAATTATTCATCTTTACCACTCCTTTGTGATTTAGAACAAATCATATAAGTCATTCAGAAAAAGTTAAGAACCATATGATTTCACTCATATCTATAATAATCTATACTAATAAAAGGGTAATATGCTAATTAGACCAGATAGATTGGACATTTTCTGGATGTCCTTCCAGACAAAGCTACGGTGGTGGGGGCCAAGGCAGAGGTGGTTAGGGGTGATCAGGCAGGCAGGCAGAGTGGTTAGGGGCAATCAGGTCAGCAGGGGAGAGCGG